GCAGGGGGTATGTGCGGCGTGAGGCTGGCAGGTGCAGGCAGGGGGCTGTGAAGGCCTGGGGCAGCTGGTGCATGGTGGGGACTGAGCCATGCCCGGGCAGGGCACCCCAAACCCCGGGCTGAGGACCCTAAACCCCAGGCTGAGCACCCCAAAGTCTGGGCAGGGGACCCCAAACCCCAGGCAGGGCACCCCAAACCCTGGGCTGAGCACCCTAAACCATGGGCAGGGCACCCCAAACCCCGGGCTGAGCACCCCAAGCCCTGGGCAGGGCACCCCAAATCCCTGGCTGAGCACCCCAAGCCCCAGGCTGAGCATCCTAAACCCCAGGCAGGGCACCCCAAACCATGGGCAGAGCACCCCAAACCCTGGGCTGAGCACCCCAGAGCCCCGGCTGAGCACCCTAAACCCCAGGCTGAGCACCCCAAACCCTGGGCAGGCCACCACAAACCCTGGTCTGAGCCCCCCAAGCCCCGGGCTAAGCACCCTAAACCATGGGCAGAGCACCCGAAACCCTGGGCTGAGCACCCCAAACCCTGGGCTGAGCACCCCAAACCCTGGGCAGAGCACCCTGAGCCCTGCCCTCCTCAGCCCTACATACCCCTCACCCCAGTGCCAGCCCCACCAAGGGCCAGTGGCTGCTCTTTGCTGACCAGTTTCTCCCAGTCTCTAACTGGAAGTGAGGCAAAAGGGCAGGACAAGACGAGCCCAGGGTGGCCACAGCAATGTGCCAGGCTATGCCGCGAATGTGCAGGGGCCAAAACCTGTTGACGGCTGCGCTCTCCTGAACCAGCTTCCCTTTCGTCCTGGGGGGCTTCGCCCTGACCCCCGGACCATCAGCAGTGCAAAAAGCCCACGAAGCGGGAGGGCTGGCAGCCGCAGCCCCCCTCCATGCGGCCCCAGCCCCTCGCGGGCACAGGGAGAGGGTTGGCACGAGGCTGGAGCGAGGTTTATTGCGGGATCCGGCGGTGCCGGAGTGATACACGGCAGCTACACGGTGTTGAAGCAATAAATTAAGCCATGCAGAAGCACCGGGCGGCAGAGTCCCATCCTGCCACATTGCTCGGTGCCCAGTGGGGGACGTTTGGCAGCTGTTAAGCGATAAAATAGCTTTACACTTTATTAAATATATTAAATCTTAATAATTAAATAATTATGGAGCAAAGCTGGTTCTGCTGAACATCCCGGTCCTGTCCCAACAGCCCTGAACATGGGGTGGTTTTGGGGATGGCGACGAGTGGTGTGGGCTGGAGCCGGCCGCAGGGTGCACCAAAATGCCCTGGAAAACACCAAAATGTTGGCAAAGATCAAAAGGTCTTGGAAAGGAGGAATGCCGGCTGCTCGGCAGGGAAGGATCAAGCCACCGTGGCTGTGGGAGCCCCTGTCTCGGCGGGACCTTGCGGCATGGGTGACGCTCAGGCCCCTCTCGGTGCTGGCGGTTCCTTGTTCTGGGGAGCCCCAAGATGCGCCGGGGTGCAGATCCAGCCCTGTCGGGGGGATGCTGCCCCTGGTCTATCCTTTCCCAGCGAAATCCAGACCTCGTTCGGCAAGAGACAAGCCGGGCACTGCAACCCTGCCGGGGAATTCCTGCTGCCGCCGCCGAGCCCGCGGCATCCCCGCTGCCAACGTGCCGGGCAGGCAGGTTTGGGCAGCACCTGCTGCCTGCGTGTTGCGCTGGGTGCCAGCCATGGGGTGGGTGCCCAGCCAGGCTCGGGGGCTGCGGCAGGGGACGGTGCTGGCTCCGACGCTTGCTTGCCCCTCGGCTGTGGTGTCTGTCCGGGGGGCTTGGAATGGGCCGCCAGCCCCAGGCGCCCGCTGCCATCCCCGCTGGGCAGACGAGACGGGCCGGCGTCAGATGATGGATCCAGGGGGTATTTTTATAACCGGGCTGGAAAATTCCTCCCTTGCTTTTCTCCCCCCCCCCCCTACTTTTTCCCTCCTTGCAAATTAAAAAGGCTCCAAGGAGGGGGTAGGAAAGGTGGGAGCTGCAAGCAAAACCCCCTGTGTAACTGGGAGCCATCCTGGCGTTGGCTTTGCCACCGTCCCCGGTGCAGCCTGCAAGCAGCTCCAGTGTGTGCCTGGCATTCACTGCTCTGGCTTGGGCTTTTCCAGGGAATTGTTCAACTTTTTCAGCGTCTTTTTAATCCGCAGGGCGGTGAGGCGGGCCGACGGGCTCTGGTACCAGCACTCCTTCATGATCTTTGCCAGCGCTGACAAAACCTGGGGGAGGCACAGAAAGAGGGGAGAATTGAAGAGTTTCATGGGGAGAAAAGGTCTGGCTCAGGGTGGGAGGAGGGTGGCCCCCCTGGGACTCACCGAGTCGGAGAAGAGGCGGTTGGGGATCACGGGGGTCTGCTGGTCGATGCACACCACCTTCTTCATGTCCTCGAAGCTGGGGTCGCTGGGGACGGCGTCGAAGAAGGGCGGCCGGTACTCCTCCACGATGCCTGCGGGAGGGGGTGGTGGTGGCGTGAGGGCAGCGGGGGAGTGTGCAGGGTTCACCCCAAACCCTGCACATCTTGGGGTGCCCGGGGTGGCCAGCACGACCGACGTGGACCCTGCCTTGGGGGGGATGTGAAGCCCCGGGAATTGCCAGCGTGATTTGCCCCACCACACCGGCGGTGATGCTGCCTGCGGGGTGCACGGCTCCAGCTCCGGCTGCACCGTGGAACCTCGCCGGGATGGCATGGGGTGTCTGGGGTCAGCTCCAGCACTGGCTCTAGCACCGCTGGTGGCTCCAGCACCAGCACCAGCACTGGCAAGAGTCCAGCACCAGCCCTACCATGAACAACAGCTCCAGCACCACCTCTAGCACCGACACCAGGTCCCGGCACCGATGCCACCTCGCAGCCCCCCCCTCCATCTGGCAGCCCCACGGCGAGCCCGTCAGCTGGCCCAGCTAATCTCCCTTTAGTGCCTCCATATGTCTGTGTGTCCGTGGGGTTTAACCCCTCTGGGCGACCCTGAGCACCCACCAACTCCCTGCACCCTGGGGGGTCACGCCTGAACCTTGGGGTCCCCTGGATCCCCTATCCCCAATGCCGTGGGGCCGTGCAGGGGCTGCACAGCCCATCCTGAAGGGTGAGGGTGCCTGGAAGGGTTAAAACCAACCGGCTGAAGGTCATCCCCAGCACATGGTTTTGGTAATTCGGAGTAAATGTTTAATCTGAAGGAGCCCCGGGGCAGTAAATGAGATTATCCCGGCCAGACTGCGCCTTGGGGGGACCTCCTGCCTCACCCACTAGCGCGCACCATTTAATTAATGCTTCTAATGGACTTTGCCGGTGGTGAGCGGCGCTGGCCGGGCAGCCCCGAGAAGGCTCCTCCACAGTGTGGGGGACCCCGTCCGTGTCCCCGTCCCCATCCCCAGGAGCCAAGCCCCGCTGGCCAGAGGTCCCGGCCATGGCTGGCTTCCAGGCAGCGCTCGACGCTGCTTGTTTTCTAATCAGTGCTGAACAAACAAAGCACTGATTGAGTCTAATGGGCCCTTTAATCAGGGAGCCGGGTGCTGACACTAGATTACAGTGTTTATAATTTACAGCTAATCTTCTGGGCGAAGGGAAAGAAAAAAAAAAGCAACAAAAAGGAGGGAAGAAGGGAGCAAGCGCGGAGCCTTGCCGCAAGCCGGGAGCGCGGCAGCAGGCCAGGAGCCGCTCACCATTCACCACCGTCCGCCGGGTGATCTCCCAGAGCACCAGCCCATACGCCCAGATGTCCGTCTTCTTGTAGGACTCGAAGCAGTCGGTGCGGATCTGTTCGCTGAGCACTTCTGGGGCCATGTAGCGCTTGGTGCCCACCCGGGGGTTGTTGCCGATGTCCAGGTAGTCGCTGCCTTGGGAGTGCATGACGGCCAGCCCTGGAGGGATGCCGGCCCCGGTCAGTGCCGTGCTGGTGCTGCATCCCCAGGATGCTGCATCCCTGGAGCACTGCATCCCTAGGGTACCACATCCCTAGGGTACCACTTCCCTGGAGTTCTGCATCCCACCCCCATCTCACCCAGGTCTGCAATGCAGCACTGCCGGTTGCTTTTCACCAAGATGTTCCTGCTCTTTAGGTCACGGTGGGCAATGGCGGGCTTGCCCTGGGTGCCAAAGATCTCCACGTGGAGGTGGACGAGGCCGCAGATGATGGAGGAGGCCAACCCCAGGCAAGTCTCCACATCCAGGGCTGTCCTCTGCAGGTAGTCGTAGAGCGAGCCATTCTCGTGGTAGTGCGTGATGAGCCAGAGCTGGGTGCTGGAGTTCCTCGACGTCATGTCGGAGGCGATGAAACCTGGATGGGGAGAAGAGCTGTGACCGTGGAGCCACTGTACAGCCACCCCCCGCAGCCTCCTTGGCCCCCCACTCACCCAGGATGTTGTCGTGCCGGAGGAGGACAGTGTTGTAGATCTCGGTCTCACGGAACCACGACTGCTCGTCCCGGGAGGAGAAGATCTTCACGGCCACGCTCTCCCCGTGCCACACACCTCGCCACACCTCGCCATAGCGTCCTTTGCCTGCCACAGCCACGGCACCGCGTCACGCGGCCCCTCTGGCCCCCAGCGCCCTCCCCACATCCAGCGTGACGAACCCGGCTCCCAGTGTGGAAGAGCAATGGGGCGGCGCAGGGTACATTGACCTTGGCCAACTGCCACGCACCCACCCAGCCGCTCTCTCCCTCCCCCATCAGCAGGACTGGGGCAGAACTTGGGGTCTCTACAGGGTTTTGGCTGAGACATCAGGTCCAACCACCCTTCCTGCATCTGGCTTCATGGTACCATCGCCGGCTACTGGGGGAAAGGGTTCAGGCACATGCCCAAGCGCCAGTTGGGGGGGCCGAGGCAGCCTCCCTTCGCGTGGGGCCCCTCTCCTTACCCACACACTCCACGAGGGTGATCTGCCGAGCCACTGTTCGCTGGACGAGGAAAGGCAGCCCCGAGCCGCTGCCTGTGGTGCAGTCATCGTTCAGCAAGTCCTGCGCAGCCGGGATGGCAGTGGGGTCAGCTCGGTGGCCAACCCCACACCTGGCACATCCCTCCCTCCCACACCTCGTGAGCATTTGGGGTCCCCCCCCCCAGCTCACCCACCTCTAAAGTGCTGTCTCCCACCATGGATGCCTTCAGCATGAGGTCTGTGTCGCCCAAGTCGCTTTTCTGGTGGCGATGCTGGGCCATCTTCCAGCAGAAGAGCACTGTGAGTGCCACGAGGATGAGGAGGGCGAGCAGCGGGACGAAGATCATCAGGAGGAGGTTGGGCAGGGAAGGTGCCTTTCCCAGGGCCTCTTCTCCTGGGTGGGGGAAACGATGGTTGGGAGCATGAAGGTGGACCTGGGAGGATGGGGAGGTCTTGGTGCTTGGGCTTGGACCTGGGGAAGGTGGCTCCGCATTGGGGTCAACCCCATGGACGGCAGCTCTACAGGCACAGCCCAAGAAGCTGAGGACATCTTGCTGACCATGTCCCACCTGGGAAAGGGTGACCCTCGAGGTGCTGAGTGAGGATGGGGATGATCTGGAGACCCAACCACATCTCCAGCCATGCAGGCAGCTCTGCCCCTCTCCCCCTGGCTCCTTGAAGGGGACCATGCCCCCGTACCTTGCAGGAAGATCTCCAGCTCGGCATTGCACATGCTGGAGTCGCAGCACCTCATGCCGTACTGCTCCGTCACGGGCGTGTGGCAGTTCTCCAGGATGTTCTGGGAGAAGCAGCCCTTGTGCTGGGTGATGGTCCCTTCCTCCTTCCTCTTGCTGACGAAGCACACCTGGCCCGTGCAGGTGGGCAGGCTGCAGTGTGGCACGTCGCAGACGCACAGCAGCTCGTCTGTGGGTGCAAGGAAGAGGTGTGTTGTGCCATGGGGCCACCCCACTGCCTGGCCCGGGGCATGCTGGTGGCTTTGAGGACTATGACATCTGTCCTAAAGACTCTTGAACCAAATTTTGAGAGCGGGCAGCCTGGGACTACCATTGTCCAGGCTGAGGAAGGCAGCTGCGTGTGGTCAGCACAGGGAAGCCCATCCTGAGACCTTCTGGAAAATTGCTTGCTCTTGGCTGGGACCCAAGCACCAGCTCTGAAGCTGGGGGTCGCCTGTCTGCATGCTCCCAGGGAGGCAGTGGAGGGGCCATGCATCCAGCTGGGATTAACTGGGATGCACTGGTTCACAGCACACAGGGTCACATCCTGCCCGTGGGATCCCAGGGGACATGGGAGCTCCAGGGCTGCCTGCAGGAGCCAGGTCCTGGGAGCCAGGATAGGACCAAAAGCCTCAAACTCAGCTGGTGCCTCCCCAGAGGGTGCTCCAGAGACACTGTGTTTCAGGAGCTGGGTGTCGAACCCTGGGTCTTTCCTGGAGCTTTCATCGGCCGCCCCGAAGGCGCTTCCCCGCACCGTGGTGCCGGAGTGGCACAGAGGGTGGCCACGCTCCCAACCTCCTGATTTAGCTCTGCCCTTTCGCGCAGAAAATATCCCTCCTGGAATCAGCGAGTTCAGCGAGAGGGCAGCCAGACAGACGGCGGCGAGGGGACGGACGGACGGCGGCGAGGGAACGGATGGCTGTGGCCAGGTCCCCTCTTGCGCCTGTCGCCCTGCTGCCCCAAAGGCTGCCTGGTGCCAGGGCCATGGGGTGGTGGTGTGGCTGGGTCGGTAAGTCCTGGGAGCTGGTGGCCCCATGGGCAGGACAGGGACATGGTGGGGACTCGTCCCCCTGCCAAGCTCTGCTGCTCCTTCCCGGCACAGCCACGCTGCTTTGGTCCTCCCTGCACAAGCACCCAGCCTGGATTCGTCCCCAGGTCACCCTGATGCTCCCCTGGGAGCAGGAGCAGCTCATCCCTGCTCCCCACCATCACCCCTGGGAAAAACCACGTTTTAAAGCATGTGCATGCTAGCCTTTTCCCCATCTCCCCTCTGGTGACGTCAAAGCACTTGATGAACCGTAATTAATTAAGCTGAGATCCTCTTTGGGAGGCAGGTCACGGTCCCAGAGGGGAGAAGCCCCCCACTGGGGACGACGTGGGTCCCCGAGGAGCCCTGCCTCCCTCGGCGCTTGCTCCAGGCAAGCTCGAACGAGCTGCTCTCCGCAGTGGTTTATTTTGAGCAGAGCAAGCGATGACGTTCCCAAAGAGCCGAGGGTTTATTTTAACCCCCCGAGCGTGGCGGAGAGCATCCAGTGCTGGCTGCCTTCACCGCATCGTTTTGGTACTCACCAGCTGCGAAGCCGATGGAGAAGGTCATCAGTGCCAGCACCGCCCGGCCACAGGCTCCACACGGCATTTTCCTGCGGAGAGCAGAGGGGGTGAGAGGCAGCCCACCGCAGCCCACCGCAGCCCTTAGCCCCCATGATGAGGCTCATTGCCGGGCCGGGAATGGCTGTGGGGGCTTTGGGAAGGAACTGGGGAGCAATAGAGGCCGGCGGGGAGGGAGAGGGCAGGTGGAGCGGTGGATGTGCTGCTTCCAAGTGGAGTTCAGCTCCGGACGTCTGGGGTACAGCCCTTCCTGAGAGCAGATCCCCAAGAACTCCTGAGCTCGGGGGACCTCCTGACAGCGGTGTGGGACACTGTGCATGGCCCCGTGGTTCTCGGGAGCACTCCGGAACAGGGACCTTGCCATGTCCATGCTGCCCCAACATCCTTCCTATATCCCAGCAATCTGTATTCTGTCATTTCCCACCATTCCTGTGGCTCCCATGCTGTAAAAACACAGCCGGTGGCAGACCCCATGGGCTCGGCAGCCATGGCGAGCGCGGTGATGGCCGTGGCACTGCCGGAGATCCCAGAGTCGGCAAGACCCATGCCGTAGGACGGAGCTGAAAGCCCCCATGCCGCATCGCTCACCCCCAACGGAGCCGGAGCTGCCGGGTGCAGCTCAGCCCCTGGGGGGCTTCTGTATGGAGCTTATCGATGACACAAGCAGAGGCGCTGCGGGCAGCCAAAAATTCCCCAGCTGCGCCTTTGGGGGAAGTTTTGCTATTTTTTCTCTCTCTTTTTTTTTTTTCCTTGTAAAAGAGACATTTCTGCCAAGCCAAACACAGCGGAGCCGGCGCTGCCCCCTGCCCCTCGCCCTGCTGGCATCACTGCCCCTTTCACATGGCCGAGAGCTCGGCCGGCGGCGGCCAGGGCTCCCCAGCCCCTCCTCGGCTCATTCTTCGTGGTTCCCGACATAAACACGCCAAAGTCTCCGTTTCCTGCAATTGAAGGAGCCCTGCCCAGGGCTGCCGGGACAGGAATCAAGATTGTTTAGATTCTGGCCTTGATGGGGAAGCGAAGTCACGCAAGCCTGGCCCTCGAGAGCACACACGTATGTGGCTGACTTAGGCAGTCTCCGGCCGTAGCATAAAACGGGCTTTTCCTCCCCAAAATAGCTCACTTCGTTGTTGCTCATGGGGAGGAAATGGCGACCGGGTCCCAGGGCTGGAAAGGCAGGAGCAGGGTCTGGTACCGGGTGCCCTGTGCCAGGAGCGATGCTTGGGCTGATCTCCGGCTGAAGCAGCAGCTGATCCCTCGACTGGCCCAGGATCAGCTTTATTTTAAAAACCAAACTCCCCTGGAGTTGGGCTGCTGTTCCCTGAGCCTCCAGGATGCTCCCAGGCACGGTGCTTCTCCTTGCAATCCCGAGAGCTACAAAACGCATCTTTTTAAAGGGAAGCCAAGATTCCGGGTGGTGAATTCCCTCCTCGGGGGCACTTCCACAAAATCCCAAGCCGTTAGACGGCTGCGGGATATTTGCCATGAAACACAAAGCAGCCAGGGCCTCACCCAAAACTTTGCTGTATGGGCAACAACATCACAAGGATGTGTGTTGGTGTTAACCGAGAGCAAACCTTAATCCAGAGCCGCCCCTGGCATCCCACGGGAAAAACATCCCGGGTGCTTCTGTAACGGGTCAAACCAGCCCCTGCGTCGCCATCCCTGTCCCCAACCTTTCTCCCTCCTTTCTCACGCTGGACCTGCAGCTCACGCACCTTCCTGGCGTGCGGAGCATCTTCCCCAGCCTGGCTGGGAGGTGATGGCAAGTCACGTTGCTGTCTTACATCCTTCCATCCTTTGGGATTTGCAGCAGCATCAGGAGAAGGAAAAAACCCCAACTGAAACCTCTCGGATGGGGTGTGGGCGCTGGCAGAAGCGGCTGGGAGCAATAGGCAGTTGTGCCGCAGCACTGGCCGGACGGGGGGGTCTGGAGCAAGACCCAGCCCCGGGGAAGGGGGATTTCCTGGTGACCCCACGGAGAGAAAAGCAAAGGGACTGTTGAAGGGAGATGGGGCGGGAGGCTGCGGGAACCTGGGAAAGGGGGTGGCTGGACACAATCCTCAGGGACATGCGTGATGGCTGGAGGGTCCCTTGCTCTTACTGGGGTGGCTCGGCAGAGCTTTGCAATCCTGGCTCTTCCGCCCTCCCCTGTGTTTTCTGCTGCTCCTGGGGGGGGGTTTCGCCACAGGATGCGGCTCGTGACTCAGTTCCCCTCTGTCGCCTTTTCGCAGGGAGCCAGACACAGCAGAGACCCTCGTGCCGGCTGGTGCCGGTGCCAGCTGGGGGGAAGCAGGGTGAGCCAGGCGTGTGCGATGGTACCAGCTGCAGGTGCGAAGGGCTGGATGGACACCACGTCGGAGTCGGTGAGAGCTTTGCCACAGGCTCCCAAAGCTTCAGCCTGGTTTTAAGGAACAGACAGAGGTTTTCCTCCCTGCTCCCTGTAGCTGCAGGTTGGTCACGCATGCAGCAAAGCCATTTGCATCCTTCGGTGCAGCCGGCGCAGGAGAGACGTTCAGCTCAGGGACCCACACCGGTGGGCTGCACCGTGCTGGCCCTTCTTGCACCGATGGGCATCGCTGCACCGTAAATAAGAGACAGGCAAAGAGAGTGGCAAAACCAGTTCATGTTAATCATTTCATGGGGTTGGCATCACACGCAGGTCCTCGTGCAGAGTGGGGATGAGGGGAGTGTTCCTGCCCCAACTTTGCGGCAGGGTTCGAATGCCGGCAGAGCTCCCACGGCATGGCTCGCACCAGCTTTGCTTTAGGCACTTTGTTCTGAAAATGGAGCCTCCTCAGGGGCCGTTTGGCTCTTCCTCGCCCACCCCTCCTCCAAGAGACCCAGGGTTTGGCTTTGCAGAAGGGGCACGTCGAGGCGTCGTGTCCTGCGCCGTCGCTGCTGTCGGTGACCCACTGCCCTCGCTCCAGCCCCCGCTAGCGGAGCTGTCAACTTTCCCTCATTTTCCCCCACGCCTTTTCAAATACACCCAAATTCCCCATTTCCCACATCAGCTCTGGGCTTTTGGTATCAGCTGTGTATTGTTTCAGCTCTTTAGCAAAGACCTGGGGACAGATCCTGCTACTGTTGCACTGGTGTAAATCCAGATTTATGCTCCCAGCTCCGCCAGAGCCCTGATTCCAGCCTCCACCAACCCTGACGTCAACCCCGGTGTCCCACCAAATGTGAAGGAAATGGGGCCAAATCCTGATTTCATCTGCACGGGGGTAAATCAGGAGGGAAGCACTGAGGTCGGTGCAGCCTCGGACCCCGTGAGCGCGCAACGCTTCCCCACTCACCTACAGCATCCGTGTCCCACAGTCGCCCACGGAACTGCCCGGTCCCGGCGAGGCTTTCCCGGCTGCAGTCCCGAGCTCGGAGGTGGTGTGTGTGGCTCAGCCGGGGCAGCTCTGCTCCGTGCCGTGTTCCCCGGCTTGGAGGAGCTTCATGGGTCTGCTCCCCTCCCACCGCTCGTCCCGGCACTGTGGGGGCTCCCGCGGCTGCAGTGTTGCCCGTCCCGGTGGGGGAATGTCTCTGTCCCTGTCCCGACCCTGGGGACTCGGCTCAGCAGCTCTGTTGTCCGAGTGCAGCCGCTTGGCAAGCGCTCTGTGGTCTGGATGTGGGAGAAGTCAAAAAAATGTTTCTTATTACTGCCTCTTCCTGCCTGGCTTCTCTCCACCACTCCCAGCTAATAAAGCATTTCCTATTGCTGAGCACACATCCACGGCCAGCCTCCCTTCCTCCCGCACACCGGGCCCCAGCTCCATCCTGGTTGCTCTCCCTCGACCCGTTCCTCCCACCCCTGTCCTTCACTGGGCACTTTCCCACCAGGTTTCCTGGTTTTCAAGGCAAACCCAAGCCTTTGGTGGGGGGACGTCCATCAGGTCTCCTTCCCGGAGCATCTGAAGGCATTTGGCAGAAATGCAGCTGGTTGCTTTGGTGGTGCTGGGGGTGGGAATGGTCTGGATAGATGCTGTGGGAATGACCTTGATGTGCTTGGCCATCCCTTCTGCTCCAGCATCCCACCTTTGTGGGGATGGGAGCATCATGGCAGAGCCAAGGGGCTCCCCGGTTATTCAGTGCTGGCCACAAGACTTTTGGTGTACTGCGCTGGAGGGCAGGGGACGTTTTCTCCCCCGGGTGTAAAGCAGCATCAGGGGGTGCTGCCGAATGGTCACCCCATTAGGGACGCTCTGCCCTGGCTGCTGGCGCGGAGCAGGGCTGGGGTGGGCCAAGGGAGCTTGCTCGGTGCCTCCTGCCCGCACGTCCCCGCCGTCCCCCACCGTGGCCCTTGAGATGCCACGGCAGCAGGCGCTGGGATGCCGACGGCGGGGCCGTTCCCACGGCGGGAGGCTGGGCACTTCCCGCTCCCCCAGGACACGTGGGGCCGTCGGAGCTGCGGGCAGTGGAAGTGCCGCTTCCCCTTTTGCCGCTTCGGGGTTCTTCTTTGGGCCAGCCGCCTCTCAGCAGTTTCGTAGTCCTCCCATCCCCCCTCCTCTCCCTCCAGCACCTTTCCAAACCCCATCCCTGCCTTTCTCTCAGCTGATCGCCCCGGCACAGTGACCCGCTCCCATGGGCAGGCGAAGGCAGCCAGCAGCAGGCAGCGTGCAGGATGGCATTGCGGCCTCTTTCCTAACAAAGTCACAGGGCCTGATCTACCTCTCCATTCCCCATTGCATCACCAACCCCAATTGCATCACGAACCCAACTGGCACCCAGAGCCTCTCCATGCTGGCGGAGCACTTTGAGTCTTGCCCGCCACCTCCCCCCTGCTATCGCCCATGATCTAGGAAGTTTAAACAAACAAAAACACAAAACCAGGATAAAACATGAGGGACCTTCACGCATGACCTTGCCCACACCGGGGCCGGGAGCTTTGCAGAGCCGGCGCAGGGGAAACGGGCAGTTTCCATCTGATAGGAGCCGCCCGGGAGGAAGCCGGTGCCTGCAGACGCCTTATCGCCGTGACCATCTTTGCTCTGGCGCACAGGTCTCGGTGATCTGACTGGCGATCAGCCCCTCCCGGGGTTATTCCTGGATGGCTCCTGTGTCCTCGCTGCCTTCCATGGGTGCAGGCACACGGCGAGTGTCAGCACCTTGCTTTTACAGCTGCAGGCAGGAGTTTCCCCAGGCAGCCGAACGTGGCAGGTCTCCGGCAAGGTCTGGTGCCGGCTGTTTTGGTCCCTACGCTTCCATCTTCCAAATGGGGCAGCTTCATTTTTTAAACCGTAATCATCACTGGGGGGATAAATACTTGCCTAAAAACTTCTAAAAGTTACTAAGTCCTATTCTTGGGCCACTTGAAGGGCAGGGATGGGTGGGAGCCCCGGACCAGGCTGTGGCTCTGGCACTGCCGCCGTGGGAAAGCAAATTCATCTGGAGCAGGGACTGACTGTAGAGGTGCGTTAATGAACATACCGAACCCACCCCAGGCTCTCTTAGCCGCCGGCAGGGCGATCCCTGCCCTGCTCCGCACTCGCGCCGGTGCCAGCCCCTGGCTGGGGCAGACGGGGTGAATCAGCGGGGATGGGCGCCCGCCTCGGTGCTGGGCTGAGCGCCGGCACGCCAGCAGCACCGCGACTCACGATCCCGCACCGGCCCTGCCTGCCATGGTGCAACCTCCCACCACCCTCTCGAAGCCAAAGTGAGACTTTCCGTCATTGTTTGGATGCTCGTCACCGCGCATGGTGACTTTATCCCACAGAAGGGTGCGGGGCACCCCTGGACCGTGGTGGGACACATCCAGCCGCCCCTCGGGGTTTCACCGAGCTGTCCCTGCCGTGGCAGAGGGGGATGAGGGGCCAGCGGGAGCCTGTCTCTCCCTTCCCCCTGCGCTGCAGGAGCCAGGCTGGCGTGGTGCGTGCGATGGCTGCTCCATGTGCCGTCCGCCCCCGGCTCATCTGCGAGCCGCCGCCGGGAGCTGGCGAAGGAGGGCAGCCACGTGCCGGGGAGCCTGATGTGAGCCAAGGGCTGGAGGGGAACAGACGGGGAGGTTGCAGCTCCTTCCCGACGAGCATCCTTTCCTGCCTGCTTGTGACTCGCCCCAAACCTCCTGGTGCCCACCGAAAGGCAGAGCTGCAGCCTAAAAGCGGGGAGATGGGGCTTTTGTCCCTCTAAAGAAGGGGGTGGCGAAGGGAGGGGGCTCCATCCTGGGCTGCGTGCCTGGCCAAGAGTTATTTATTACCCGGATAACTAGTGCTTCGAGCAGCTCTCAGTGCCAGTCGCTTTCCCTGGGGGGCAAACCCTGGGTGCTTGGGTGCTGCAGGAGCCAACACGGCTGCTCAGGGCAGGCAGCACCCCAGTTTTACCTTCCTACGTGTCAGGAGGGAGCCGGAGTTAAGAGGAGCTTGAAATATTGGGAGCACAAGCTTGCTGCCCTGCAGCACATCCAGCGTGCACCAGCACCCAACAAAAAAGCAGCTGCACAGCTCCCTGTGGGAGCGGGTCTGGGGGGCTGCATGGGTGCAGATGAGGGGCCCCAGGGCTCCATGTGGGTGCAGGCTGGAGGTCCCAGAGGGTGGTTTGCTTGGGAACAGGGACCACTGGGTCCTGTCCCAGGTAACGTTGGAGCACAAAAGCTGCAGCTGGGGATGGAGCCCATGGGCACCCCAGGTTTGGTTTCCAGCCCATGCCTGGCATCCAGAGCTCCTGTTAACCCTCCTGCAGCGTGGAGATGCTTCCCCACGCTGAGCCTTGGTTTGTCCATCTGCAACCCGGGAATACACAGGAGTGGGGAAGTTAATGTCACTGAGGGGGTGATGGGGTGGACAGTGGATGCTGGTAGCAAGGGGGAAGCATTCCTGCCAGCCCAACAAACAACCCTGAGCTTTATTCATTAAACCAATCCTGTTAACATGGCAACCACTTCCATTTTAATTTGCACAACCATGTTCCACCACGTGCTGCAATATCAAGATTTCAGAAAGATCAAAGAGGCAAAAAAAAAAAAAAAAAGAAGATAAAAAGGAAAAAAGAAAAGAGCCGCTTCTGCCACAGACCTGCTCCCTGGCAGACCCAGAGCTCGGCCCAGGGCTGGGTCTCAGCACGTCAGAGCCCGGCATGACCAGAGCCAGGCCGGGGTGTCCACCCTCGAGGTGGGAGAGGACAAGGGGCCGGGGACCCAGGACCACAAGGGCTGGGGCATCTC